AACCGTCCTTAAGATGAAAGGCGATTGCCAAGCGAAGGTATTGATCAAGTAGAAACCGCCTGATGATGTGTGATCCAAACTGGAGATAAATGTTGGCTCTCTTACTTTCATTATTCATGCAACAAATATTGGCGATTGAAACTTAGATGTATCTTCGTTTTTTACCGTCTTCGCGATTTATTTCCTTCTCGCAATTTTAGTAAAAAAAAAAGGATTCTATTGTAAGTAACAAAAAATTCGCTAGCTGTAAATGTTTTCGTGAGAAAGACATTTATCTATTTCGTATTTGTTATTTTAACCCACTTCATTCACTGATGTTTGTTAAATTAAGTCCTCCTAAATTTTACGTGAAAACGTCAAAATGTTAACACCAAGTTATCATGAAAGAAAAAAAAAAGGAAAGAATAAATCTGCTAACACTTTTTAAATTTACTTCGAAAAAAGGCTTTTGTTCAAAACGCCAGCTTTCCAGATTCACAACAGCGTATTACCCTCCTTTATGAAGTAACATTTGAGAACATCTAATAACTTCAGTTCGGCACAGAATGACGACTAAAAGTTCCTTAAACAATAGAAACTTCGTTTACGATGAATTGTACGAAGACTGACCTTTTGAAGTGACTCGCCAGGGCGTAATGGAACAGATCTCCAATAAAAGAAAACAGAAATAAGCTGAAAACATGGCTAAATATCAGTTGACTGTGGACCAGTTACACGTTTTCCACAAGCGTCACTGAACTCCGCCAACCCGTTGATAGAATCCTAAACTTAACTGAAGGTTCTTCGATATTGATAAAAAGAACGTATTTTTTTCCTTTTTAGTTCATTAAAATAAGCTGAGGCTTGTTTAGACCATTTTTGAGCTACCATCCATTTGGGAGCCTCTAGATGCGGGTAAATTTGTTTGTCTAACTTGACATTTCTGTCGTTGCACACTTTGTAAAACGAAGTATATCCGGTAAAAACACAGATCTATTAACAAAAGGCCTTACAGTTGATGTATTATCTTCTTCGTTAAACGTACTACGTTACATCATCGGGAAATGCCGCTTTGTTTGCGTTCACCAGACTGACAAACATTAACGTTTCATTTAAGACAAAGATCAAGAAGGCAAAGAGGAAAAGTCCCATCTGTAAATGACACGAAGGGCCTTCTTTTCCCTGCATAATCTTACTTGACTTTACTCATAGGGAAGAAGAAATGGAGGACTAGAATTTAATAAATTGTCAAATGGTTCTTTCTGTCCATGCTGTCTTACGACACAATTACTCGGATGACGTGCCATGCTAAAAACTGTCGTTCTTGCAAATGACTTGCAAATTAGGATTAACTGAAGATGTTATTGTATTACTACTATACAAACTTTTTCTGAAATATGGCCTATAAAAAGGCTTTTATTCCTCAATTGTGGTTAATGGAACTTTCTTTGGAAGGAGAATAGTCGGGTATTAAGTATATTGTTTTTTTTTCAGAAGACCCACTAATCTCGTCAAAACATCTGCTTTCTATTTGTTAATGAACTACTTTTTATTACCATGGCTTCGGTGATGGAAATCCAGGGTCTACAAAACTGATTATGACTTATCTTGACGCCTATATAGTGAAATAGTTACGCCTTTGCAAAAGAAAGTTGTACTGTTTTCTCCTAGTGTTTAAGAATATTTTGTAAACCTCCGCTTAACTCAGCCCACAGTTGTGAAATAAAACATTCTCCAACGACCATACTTCCTCATTTAATGTTGTTGTAACAAAGGAAGAACATTAGCAACTGTTTCCTTGTGACGAAATGGTACTTGTTTCTTGAACCTCTTAGTCATGCAGGCACGTGTAACTACGTATATACTCACCTTTTAGATATATTGTTTAATTTGAACAGCGAGTCTGATAATTCTTAAATTCATAACTTATGCATCAGTAAAAAGAAAGCACTATTGGCACAAATCATCCCGGTGCGCTATAGCAAATCCCAGCTGTCTAAAACCAAATATCACAGTGAAGTATATTGCTTCATAAGGTGACACCTGATCGTTGGATGAAAAAGACCGGAGATATGACATCAGAGCGTCACGATTCACATCGAAGGTGACTTAGTAATCGAGGCACAAACGACAAATAACTTATCATAACATATCTACGGAGGTTTCACTATAGAGGGAAAAATGATTGTTGAATTGTCCTTTTAACTTTTAAACTATTAAGATATCATTAGTAATTCTCTTTACTGTCTGTCATACAATTCTTATGACGTTAATTTGGAGAATTTGGTATTGGATCAACCAATAATCCCCGAATTTATATTTTACTTTATCCTGATCACTTCTACATTTGTATTTGTATTGATTTTGTAAGGAGAAATTCCCTCCTGGGAGGTAAAGGGTTAATTAATCCGTCAATGCTCTAAAATGAATATTAGGGACAGCACAAGAGTCGGGACAAGAACGTGGTGAAGCAAAAGGTATGATGATCAGAACAATCAACAACTCTGTGCGTCTGTTTAAAATTTTGTACATTTCTGGAGGTGCAGTCTGATGGACCGCTACGTTAAATAACCAAATTTTGCATAGTCTAAGATCGAAACGACCGACAAAAATTATTTGCATCTCCAGTTGGAACTCAACAACACCTCCGCATGTTCTGTTGTCATCTTGATACTCTCCCGTTCCAAAGTCGATTCTATAATCAGCGCTTGTGCAGTCTTATTCATTATTTTCGAGAATACCAATTCCTACTCTGAGCTGATCTTAATACCGAGGCATATCTTGGGTAAGGGTGTGTTCCATTAGGTAATTTATTCCCCTGTAAGTCCGAGTCTTGAATCATGTTACAAATAGGATTACAGGCCATTATTTGGTCGTATAGTTTGGTGAAAGCTGAGGAAGAGGATTTGTCGCCATTTACAGTCAGCAATGTAGCGGTGATACAAACTTGACGGAATACACTCATTTTGACGAGTTGTCATAGTGTTATGCGAATAAGAAGACTTTGTGAACGTTCTGTCTAGCCTTCTTATGAATAGCAAGCGTGCAACCGTGTCCCTGTGTACTGTGTCTCAGTAAATGTTTACCCGACTCGAAAATATTCATACTGTCGGTGGCAATCCAATAACCTTGTTCTAAATTTAAGCCGCTGGTGAAATCTTAGCTTCTATAATTTTGG